AAAAAAAACAAAACAAAAAACAAAAACAAAATCCAAGGAACTTACTAATAAAAAGCTATACATCATTTGGTCCTGGCTAACCCTCTGATTAAATTAACTATTCTCTTCCCCTCATTCCATAAATATACCAAGCATGTACCAATTTCAGGGTCTTTATTATCTATTGATCTTTCTATCTTGAATGCTCTTCTCCTAGATGTCCCCATAGCTTTCTTTTTTTTTTTTTGTCCCCATAGCTTTCTTAACTTCCTTCATGTCTTTGATCAAATACCATATTATCAAAGAGACCTTCCCTAACAGCCTATTTATCTAAAATAGGATTCCTTCTAGTAAATCTCTCTCTTTATACAACTTTCTTCTTAATACTCAGCAGCATTGGACATTTTATCTGATTTTCTATGTGTATGTATAGATTTCGTACACATATACATTCTCTCCCTTTCTATATATAAATATGTAAAAATGTATAAACATTTAGGTACATATAGGAATTTGATTATTGAAGGGCTTCTCACTAGAATTAGAGTAGGGACTTCATCCTTACTGATAAGGAAGACAGCAGTGAGCAAAAGAGATAATCAAGACAGATTTCTCTAAGAAGGTATTTGAGCTAACGATGAATGAAGATGAGCCAGCTTTACTATAGCCTAGAAGGAAAGCACTCCAGGCAAAGGGAACAGCTACTCTGCAAGGCCCTACAGTGGAAATAAGCTTGTCATGTTAGGGCATTTGTCCTGCATTTGAGGACAAAAAGAAGCCCAGTAAGGGTAGAATTTAGAAATTATGTAGAGTGGAATAAGATAAGGTAGGAGAGATAGGCAGAGCCAGATCATGCAAAGTTTTGCCTGTCCCAGATGCAGGAGAAAAAGGGTTGCAGGCCTCTCTGGCACCTCAGCCATTCTCCACCCTTTGGGAAACTCTAAGGCTACAATAGCCAAAGGCTATCTAGCAACATGCAGCTATTTAAATTTAATTAACTAAAAGTAAATTTTAAAATTCAGTTTATCACATGAGTTCCATTCCAAGTGTTTTAACAGTCACACGTGGCTAATGACTACCTATTGGGCAGCACAGCACAGATAGAAAACGTTCCATCATCACAGAAGTTATATAAAACAGTGCTGCTTTAGGAAATCCAGTCCAATGAGAAATAATGCCAAGTTTGCTTACCGTCTCCTCTGTGATTTTCTCTTAACCCTAGAATCAGTGTTTTTCTATTTCGGTGGAAATATATGCGATGCCTAGAAAATTAGCATGGGGCCTATTCCCTATGCAAATATTCTCACCGGTGATTTTTACCTATGACAGAAAAGATGAGAAAGACTGGTAAATCACAAGCATTCTTAACCTCATTATAAATACATTGCAAATGTAAAAATGCAAAGTGTGGAAGTCATAAATGTGAAAGCAGCTTTCAATTTGTTTTAATAGGTATTTTCTATGTCTTATTGTAACCTAGGGATCTTGCTGCAAGAAACTGCCTGGTAGGTGAAAATAACATTCTGAAAATCAGTGACTTTGGAATGTCTCGTCAAGAGGATGGTGGAGTGTATTCATCTTCTGGCTTAAAGCAGATTCCCATTAAATGGACAGCACCAGAAGCTCTTAATTATGGTAAGAACAGACTGTTTTGCTTTTTGGTGGTAAAAATGTATTCCATCAGCACAAAACATACACAAGCAAAATTACAGGAGTAAAGCAGAGCCCAAGTTAGAATAATTTGAAAATCAACACAATAATGTGTAAGTATTCATATTTTGTATTTACACATGAGCAGAAACTTAATTCATTAAACTTATTGGTCAGATTTCTATATGTAAGATTGCTAGATTTAAAAGATGGATATACTTATAAGCACTTTGGAGAAGGTTTTTTCTAATCCAAAAAAAAAAATGATTCTTTTTAAAGTGTAGCTGTGGCTCTGGACCATTGCTTTTGAATGTCTTATAAATGGTACAATAACCTCATCTAATATTAGGTTTTAAAATATTGTCAAGTGTATAGTTTCTCACTCTAAAAGTTAACATGGTTTCTTAGCATTTTGGTCTCTAGAACTTGTATAAGTCTTGTGGAGAGAGATGGAAGTTACATTTTTAAAACAGCAGGGATTTTGTGTGTGTGTTTGTGTGTCATTGTAATTGGAAATAAATACAGGTTGCATCATCTTGGTTGGGATAAAATGGGCTGTAACAAGATGGGTAATGGCTCAAGAATTGAGATTGTGCTTTAAGTGAAATTATAAATTACATTTTCATTAAGGGAAGCAGCATATGAGCCATGGGTTGGTGAATGGGTATAGTATGTTTTAAATTGAAATATCATAAAATGATTCTTTACTGATTTAAAATGAAAAACTCATCATGAAAAAAAGGGCATTTATAAATGCCTTAATTTAATGCCTAAATTAAAGACAAAGCTTTTAAGTGAGGTACAATTCATATAACTGGAAATTAACCATTTTGAAGTGAATAATTCAGTGGTATTTAGTACAGTTCACAGGATTGTACAACCACTACTTCTCTCTAGTTCCAACATTTTCATCACTCCAAAATAAGAACCTTTACCCATTTACTCCCCATTCCTCCTTTCCCCCTTTCCCCCCAGCCACTTGCAACCACATGTCTACGTTCTGTTGCTATGGATTTACCTATACTGCATATTTCATATAAATGGAATCATACTATACATTTCTTAAATGTTTTTGAGGTTCATCCATGTTGTAGCATGTATAATTAACTTAATTCCTTTTTACGGCTGAATAATATCCCATTGTATATATTTACAATTTGTTTATATGTATATTTGGGCAGTTTTCGCCTTTCAGCTATTGTGAATAGTACTATGAACATTTGTGTATAAGGATTTATTTGAGTACCTATTTTTAGTTAAATTCTAGGTATATACTAAGAGTCATATGGTAATTCTGTGTTTAACTTGTCAAGGAACCACCAAGTGTTTTCCAGATAAGGCTTTGGAATGTGATTGGTTTGGAAGTTAGTTGGGGCTGATTCAGACACCAGGATCTGTTCTGTATTTTGTATACTAATGATACTATGGACTATATGTTGAATGTAACTGTCATTATGAGAAATAGACTAAGTTATTCTAGTTTCACCAACCCATGGCTCATATGCTGCTTCCCTTAATGAAAATGTAATTTATAATTTCACTTAAAGCACAATCTCAATTCTTGAGCCATTACCCATCTTGTTACAGCCCATTTTATCCCAACCAAGATGATGCAACCTGTATTTATTTCCAATTACAATGACACACAAACACACACACAAAATCCCTGCTGTTTTAAAAATGTAACTTCCATCTCTCTCCACAAGACTTATACAAGTTCTAGAGACCGAAATGCTAAGAAACCATGTTAACTTTTAGAGTGAGAAACTATACACTTGACAATATTTTAAAACCTAATATTAGATGAGGTTATCGTACCATTTATAAGACATTCAAAAGCAATGGTCCAGAGCCACAGCTACACTTTAAAAAGAATCATTTTTTAAAACTTTTTTTTTCACTTTAAAAGTGAAAAGTTTTCACTTATTGCAATTTTGAAAATCATTTAACTGCAATGGAGATTAATTGGGAAGGAGATTTTTTTTTTTAATAAAGATTTTATTTATTTATTTGACAGAGAGGGAACACAAGCAGGGGCAGAGGGAGAGGGAGAAGCAGGCTTCCCGCAGCGCAGGGAGCCCGATGTGGGGCTCGATCCCAGAACCCCGGGATCATGACCCGAGCCAAAGGCAGACGCCCCTAATTTTTTTTTTAAGATTTTATTTATTTGACAGCGAGACAGAGGGAACACAAGCAAGGGGAGTGGGAGAGGGAGAAGCAGGCTTCCTGCTGAACAGGGAGCCCGATGCGGGGCTTGATCCCAGGACCCCGGGATCATGACCTGAGCCGAAGGCAGACGCTTAATGACTGAGCCACCCAGGTGCCCCTGTCATTTAATTTTTTAAACCAAGCTATAGTAAAGAGCCTACAATGACATGTAAGCTCTTCTCCTACCCAACTCCAGCCACACAACACATAATTGCGTATATATCCCCTCCCCCACTTTTTAAACAGGAAATGGCAGCATACTTGATAGTCTTTTCAGCATATATTGCTACTGTGCGCAATATAGCTGTTACCAGAGGACTGTGTTTGTAAAGGGCAAATAGATTATTTCTTAGCTGATGAGGAGTAGCCTAAAAAAGAAAATTAAAAGACATTTTTTCATTTGTCACCTAAGAATTTTGGGCTGATGCATCCTCTAATTAGCCTCTCATGACTAAGTCCTCTGAAATGAGGAGGCAGGATTTATAGTGAAAAGAGTCCTGGATCAATCATCAGGGCCAGATTTCCCACCAGTTATGTCATTAGTTGCATGACCTTGGCAAGTCATCTACTTATCTACACCTAATTTTCAATTGAGAAGATAGTGCCTTTTCCATATAAGGGTATTGTTAAGATCAAATGAGATGGAGAAGTAGCAAAATTCCATACAAGTATAAGTTGCTCTTAGCCCATTAAAATTATCCAGCAAGGTTCTGGTTCAACATGATGATGTAGGAAGATCCCAAACTCACACCTCCTCTCATAGACACACCAAGTCTATGGAACAATTTTCTCAAAAAAACCCTAAAAACTAGCTAAGCAAGTGCTACATATTATTCAAACAAGAAAAGAAAAAAACCCTACCACAGCAGGTAAGAGAGGCTAAGACACAATCTCACCACAGACTCCACCCCCAGCACGGAGAACCATCATGAGGAGGGAACTAAAAACCCAGAGCTTCCCCCTGAAGAGCAAAGGGTTTAAGTCCCCCACTTCAGGCATCCCAGCATTTAAGACCTGCACCTAAGAGGTGAGCTCCCAAAACATCTACCTTTGAAAACCAACAAGGCTCACATTCATATAACCCACAAGACTACAGGGAACGTAAAAACAATTCTTAAAAGGCCCCATGCTTGGAATCACCTGCCCTAGGGCCCAGAGCAGAAGCAGCCAATGGACAGGCTATGTGAAAGAAGCTCCTTTGCTAGTCTTAAAACATCAGCCTGAGAGGCATCTTATTTAATACACATCTACGGGTCTGCTGGGGATACTTTCCAGGGATGGAAGCTGGCAGATGCCATTTTCACATTCTCCTTCTGCTGCACCCCAGAGCACCATTATCTCTCAGCGGGGAGCTTTTACACATATCTAGTAGCCTAGTTTTTGCAGCTACCACAGGTTCTGGATCATCAGGTTCTGGATGCCAGGGGGCTTGCAGTCCTGTGTACCATATGACTGTAACAGAGACACAGTTCTTGACAGGCTACCACCCCAGTGCCCTGACAGACAGCAACATACCCATAGTCTTTCTTTACTAGCTTGTCCAGGCCTGAGGGCAGACTTCTTGTATGGCACCCAACTACAGGCCTGTGGAGGTTCTGTCCAGGAACAAAGGCCAGTGGACACCATCTCTGTACTCTTCCTCTACTTCACTTGCCATAATCTCCCAGAAAGGAGTTAATACCCTTGTCAGGTGCTTAGGTTTTAGCAGATTCTACCCGGGGACACCTCTATATCACCTGGCTCTGGGTGGTCAGCAGGGCTTACTTTCACAGATCCCACAGGACCGTAACCAATGGAGAAAAAGTTCTTAAACAGCTATACTCCTAGGACACAGTAAGAGGCAGTAGGCCCAACAGCTCTTTCTGTGAAAGAGGCCTATTGGCTTATCATCATAGCTACAGCCAGAGGTGCAGGCTTCTAATTGAACACACATCTAAGACCTGACTATATGCCTGCCCTCTAATGTCTCTGGAAAGGATTAATCTTCATACTCTGTCCCTGCTGTATTCCAGAGCACCAGTATCTCTCAGAAGAGAGCTCTTAAACCCACCTGTTGTCCCAGTTTTAGGGGCTGCCATCCAGTGAATGCCCCCTTGATCTGGCTCTGGTGATCAAGGCACACTCAAATTCCTGAGTCCCAGAGGACTGTAACAATCAGAAAGAGAGTTCTTGGCAAGCCAGAATTCCCCAAGGCACTGCACCAACAGCCAACTATGAAAGAAGCCTATTTGCCTGTTGGGAGCTTCAGACTGAGGGGAAGTCTTCAGGTTTGGCACACATCTAGAGGCTGAGGTAATGTAGATTGGTAGCCACCATCTTTGCACTCTCCCTCTGCCTCATTACACCTCCTTGGTATCTCCCAGAAAGGAGCTTATGCACTCATCTAGGGCCCCAATTTTTACAACTGCTGCCCAGAGGATAAGTCCAGATCAGCTGGCTCTAGTGGTCAGTGGGGCTTACACTTGTAGTCCCACAGGACTCTGGGACCTTAGCCAGTAGTTAGGGTCTGGCTGCAAATCAAACTCAATTTCAATGCTGAGATTCTTTTGGACACAATAGGTCTAGGAGCACCCTCCACTACTGTGAGCTATTTAAAATAGTCTGCATGGGCAATCACAAAGGTTTGAAAGAGCTAGGGCAAGGCTAAATGAAGACATTCATGTAATACATGAGGGTACTTCTTCAAGACTGGGAGACGTGCCTGTTCCTCAAATGCATAAAAACCAACAGAGTCAAGCAAAGTGAAGAAACACTGAAATATGTTCCAATTGAAAGAA